AAAATCTCAACATACTTTCATAATAAAAGCACTCAGGAAATTAGAAACAGAAGGCAACTTTCTCAATCTGGTAAAGGGCATCTACAAAAAGCCTGTGGCTAAACTTATTCTTTAATAGTGAAAGACTGAGAGCTGCTCCTTGAGATCAGGAACAAGACAAAGATATCCACTCTCACCACTTCTGTTCAGCATTTGTACTGTGCATTTCAGCCACAGCAATTAATCAAAAGAAATAAAAGACATCTAGATTAGAATGGAAGAGATAAAACTATCTCTGTTTGCAGATGGCATGCTACTATAAGTAGAAAGTCCTTTTGTTCTTCAAAGGACACTGAAGAAAATGAAGATAACCCTCAGAATGGGAGAAAATATTAGCAAACCACGTATCTGATAAAGGTCTAGGATCCAGAATATATAAAGTACTCTTACAACTCAACAGTTTTTAAAAAAGGAAGACCCCAGTTTTTTTTAAATGAGTAAAGGATTTGAGTAGGCATTTGTCCAAATAGGGTATACAAATGGCCAATAAACTTGTGAAAAGATGGTCAGCATCTTTAGTTATTAGAGAGATGTGACCTTGAACACTACCACTTTAAAGGTTCCACTTTATACCCACTAGGATAACTCTTATCGAAAGGATGGAAATTAACAAGTATTAGCTAGGATGAAGAAAAATCGCAACCCTTACATGTTTCTCGTGAGATTAGAAAATAGTACAGCTGCTTTGGAAAGAGTTTGGCAGTTCTCCCAAAAGTTAAAGTTAGTGTAGGGGCCAGCAATATCGTTATGTGTATACCCAAGAGATCTGAAAATGTATGTCCACAGAAACTTGTTAAAGAATGTTCATAGAAGCATTATTCATGATAGTCAAAAAGATGGAAGCAACCCAAACATCCATCAGCTGGTGAGTGGTAAGCAAAAGTGGCATATCCATATAATGAAATACTATTCAACAATGAAAAGCAATGAAGTACCGATTTATGATGCAACATAGATGAGACTTGAAAACATTACACTAACTGAAAAGCCAGACACAAAAGACCGCATATTGTATGATTCTATTTATATGAAATACTCAAATAGACAAATCTGCTGAAAGTAGATTAGTGGGTGCCGGTGGGTGGGAGGAAGAGGGATAGAGAGTGACTGCTAATGAGTATAGTGTTTCTTTCTGGGGTGATGAAAGTGTTAACGAAATTAGATAATGGTGATGGTTGCATAAGTCTTTGAATATATTAAAAGCCACAGTTGTTGTTTAAAAAAAAAAAAAACTAGTGAAGTTGTGTCAAAAGCAACTTGAAGAGATTCACAGACCTAAAATAGGAGACAATTTGAACCTTGGTAAGGATAATAACTACAGTGGATTGATATGCATCAAATATGCTTAAATCTGTGAATTAGTAATGATATCAAAATATATAAAACCTAATAACTTGTTATTTTGAGAACTGTTAATAAAGGGGAAGAATTAACCATTTATCCTGCCTTTTCTAGGTTAACTGTGCCTCAGTTCATGCAGAAACTATTTGGTTATACCCTAGTGCAGCTAAATATTTAATGTAAGGAAATTTCTTTTTCTAGAAGTATAAGTCTATAAACAAATGAAGAGTGATGGAATATAAAAGGCACTTTTGCCACCATGAAAACTAATGGATTTAAACAATGATCATCAGTAACTGCTATCATCACCAAAAAGAGAAGAGTTGTATGTACCTGTGTACATATGGAGTAGTAGTCTCACCAAAACAGAGCTTGAATCTGATGAAGCCCTTATAACTAACTACCAAATTATGGGAAACAGGACAAAGAACATGTTAACACCATAGGGATGCAATGAATGAAAATCGGACTCTGAGTAACTTTATAGGAAACATAAACACAAAATTACAGGTATACCTCAAAGATATTGTGGGTTTGGTTCCATACCACTGCAATAAAGCAAATACCATAATTAACAAGTTGCACAAATTGGCTTCTCAGTGCATATAAAAGTTATGTTTACACTACACTGTAAACTGTTAAGTATGTGATAGCATAATGTCTTTAAAAATCGATGTACATATCTTAATTTTAAAATGCTGTGCTGCTAAACGTTGCTAACCAGTTATCTGAGGCTGCAGTGAGTTCACAGCATCTTTTTGCTGTTGAAGGGTCTTGCTTTCATGTTGATGGCTGCTGACTGATCAGGATGGTAGTTGTCAAAGTTTGGGGTGGTTGTGGCAATTTCTTAAAATAAGACAACAATGAAGTTAGCCACATCAATTGATTCTTCCTTTCAGAAAGATTTCCCTGTAACATGCAATACAGTTTGAGAGCATTTTACCCACTGTAGAACTTACTTGAAAATTTGAATCAATCCTCTCAAACCCTGCCACTGCCTTATCAACTAAGTGTATGGCATATTCTGAATTCTTTGTTGCCATTTCAGCAATATTCACATCTTCACCAAGAGTCCATCTCAAACCACTTTCTTTGTTCATCCATAAGAAGCAACTACTCATCCTCTGAAGTTTTCTCATGAAATTGCAGCAATTCAGTCACATCTTCACACTCTTCTTATTTTAGTTCTCTTGCTATTTCCAATACATCTGCAGTCACTTCCTCACTGAAGTCTTGGGCCCCTCAAAGTCATTTATGAGGTTGGAATCCATTTCTTCCAAACTTCTGGAATGTTGAGATTTTCACCCCCCATGAATTACTGAATCACAAATGTTCTTAATGGCATCTAGAATGACGAGTTCTTTCCAGAATATTTTCACTTTACTTTGCCCAGATTCATCCACTATCTATAGCAGCTATAGCATTATAAAATTTGTTTCTTAAATGTAAGGCTCGAAAGTTAAAATTACTCCTTGATCCATGGGCTGCAGAGTGGATATTGTGTTAGCAGGCATGAAAACAACATTCATCTCCTTGAACATCTCCATCAGAGCTCTTGAGTGACCAGGTACATTGTCAGTAGGCAGTAATCATTTGAAAGAAATCATTTTTTTTTTCCTGAGCAGTAGGTGTCAACAGTGGGCTTAAAATATTCAGTAAGCCATGCTGTAAAAAAAGATGTGCTGCTATCCAGGCTTTGTTGTTCCATTTACAGAGCACAGGCACAGTAGATTTAGTATAATTCTTAAGGGCCCTAGGATATTTGGGATGGTCAGTGAGCATTGGCTTCAACTTTAAGTTACCAGTTGTGTTAGCTCTTCACAAGAGAGTCAGCCTGTCCTTTGAAGCTTTGAAGCCAGGCATTGACTTCTTCTCTCTAACTGTGAAAGTCCTAGGCATCTTTTTCCATTAGAAGGCTTTTTTGTCTACGTTGAGAATATGTTTAAGGTAACAACCTTCATTGATTATCTTGGCTAGATCTTCTTAAGTTGATGCAGCTTCTACTTCTACATTAGCACTTACCTTACACTTTTATGTTATGGAGGCAGCTTCTTTCCTTAAACCTCATGCACTAACCTGCTAGCTTCAAACTTTTCTTCTGTACTTTCTTTGCTTCTCTCAGTCTTTTAGAATTGAAAAGAGTTAAGGCTTGCTCTGGATTAGGCTTTGGCTTAAATGAAGGAAAAGTTGTAGCTGTTTTGATCTTCTATCCAGACCACTAAAACTTTCTCCTTATCAACAGTAAGGTTTTTTCATTTTCTTATTTGTGTGTTCACTGGAGTAGTACTTTTAATCTCCTTCAAGAACTTTTCCTTTACATTCACAAAGTGGCTAACCGGTGCAAGAGGTTCAGCTTTTGGCATGCTTGGCTTTTGACATACCTCCCTCACTAAGCTCCATCATTTCTGGTTTTTTATTTGAAGTGAGAGATGTGCGACTCTTCCTTTCACTTGATCACCTAGAGGCCAGTATGGAATTATTAAGTGCCCTAATCTCAATATTGTTGTGTCTCAGGGATAATACGGAAACCCTTGGAGCAGGAGAAAGGTTGGGGAATAGCCAGTCAGTGGAAGTCAGACCACATACATTTATCGATTAAGCTCATCTTATACAGGTGCAGTTCGCCAGAGTGGATGTAATAATAATGAGAAAATTTGAAATATTGTGAGGATTACAAAATGTGACGGACACAGAGTTAGCACATGCTATTGGAAAAATGCACTAATAGATTTGCTCCATGCAAGGTTGCCACAGACCTTCAGTTTTTTAAAAAGTGGAGAAAAAGGTAATATCTGCAGAGTGCAAATTTTTTAAAAAAATGAATGCGGTAAAACAAGGTATGCCTTTACAAGGCAAAATAGAGAAAGGAGCCTGTAGTAGAGACATGTCTTTTAATTGCAGTGCATGCAATTAGAGCTCAGTTTAAACAAGCGTAAAAAAAATTTTAATATTATAAAATAATATTTATAGTCCAACTGGAAAAATAGGACCACTGAACTACGTATTTGCTGAAATTAAACAATGATTAATTTCTTTGGTATGATAATACTGAATAGGTTATGTTTTTCTTATATTTTAGAAATATATACTAAACTATCTACAGACAAAATAATGCAATATCTAGGATTTGTTTTTAAATATGGGAGAAGGGAGTGACTCCTAAAGGAATAGCATGAGGGAGTTTTTCTGGATGAACTGTTCTGAATTGTGTAATACTAATCACAAATCTGCACATGTGCTAAAATTTATATAACTGACACCAAAAGGGGGAAAAGAGTCAATTTTATAGTATCTTCATATTTTAAATAAAATTTTAAAATTTATATTATGGAAAGGATGAAGAGAGCAATAGATGAAACAAGATAGGTCATGACTTGCTAATATTTGGAGCTGGGTGATGGCACTGAGGTATTCATTATGCCATTCTGTCTACTGAAAATTCTTATGTATAATTATTTAGAATATAATGTAAAAGCTTGGAATATTTGAAATCATAGATGGCAAATTTAGGATAAAGCTATAAGCAAATGGAAGTGTTATGATTAAACACATTCTATCTCATGTACATTTATATATGAAGTTATTCTCATAAAGCTTTGTTTGCATTTTTGTTTGTTTAGGATGAGAGAGGCTGCAAGAAAAATAGAAGAAAGGCATTTTTCCAACTATGCAACACATGTTGAATTTCTGCCTGTTGAGTGGCGGTCAAAACTTACTCTTGATGGAGGTATATTTTGTTTAAAAATTGAATGATTTAGCCAATGGCAAACTTTTACCAAAACAAATGCAGAAAGTTTTAGAAAATACTTCTTGTTCATTGAGAACATAGTGTCTTCCATTTAATTGTCTTGAGGTATACTCACCCTTTGTTCTAGATTATTTAAGAAAATAAAATCCATTGATTTCTAAAATAATTATACTGACTAATATCATTTGAACCACTATATAGATTTCATAGATAGCACTGTTTTCATGCATGCCCTCTGTGGATTGTGAGGGTGGGTGGAGGGATATAGCGGGAACAAAATGTTTTCTAAAGTTTTTGACACTAAGTTGATTTGTCATCACTTTAAAAATATTTGTTTTCCACAATTCCATACGAGCTTACATTTTTCTTTCTAATAATTTTCCCCTCATAATCGGAAAATAAAAATCTCAGGGTTTTTTTTTTCCTTTGTTGTTTTTCATACGTTCCCTGGGCTGGTGAATTACAGTCTATCATAGAGAATTTGTATATTTGTTTAAATAAAATCAGTTTAGTTGTCTTCCTTAAAGATCTGTCATCAACCAAAATATGTGTCTTTCTTTACACAAAGTTATGTCTGTTAAATATTAAAACCATAAAAACAGAATGTTTAGATTGATTATATACATAATCTGCAAAGTGAGAGTTGTTATACTGGATATAATATTAGCAGCTGCCATTTGCGGAGACTTTTGCTATGTACCTGGCAGTCTGCTGTGCATTTTGCATGGAGTATCTCATTTAATTGTCTCAAAAATTCATGAAATACCTGCTATATTTTCTCCATTTTACTGATAAAACTGAAACTCACTAAAAGGCAAATTTAAGAGTGGCAGGCAGAATCTAGCTCTGTATGATGGCAGATTCTATGTTTATCACAGTGTTAAACTGCCTCCCTGGGTGATTTATAAGAATTTGTCCAGGTCTGTGATTCTGTCTCATAGTCAGTTACGATTTATAAGGACTCGTCCAGGTCTGTGATTCTGTCTCACAGTCAGTTAGGAATGTCAGTTGTAGTTTATCAAACCCAAATTGCATCAAAAATTGTAATGAGTTTAAAAAAAAAAAAAAAAGGAATGTTATTGACCAAAACAGATCTCAGCAGCAGTGGTTGATATGTAAAGTTCTAGTGTAATAACAACATGATCCCTTGAACTTCTCCCATTCATACAGGTAAATTGCTCAGGCTTCTCAGGAAAGTATATAATATGGATGAATTACTATTTAGTAAAACTCCTGAGTTTGTAATTTCTGTTAGGTTTAAGCTACTTTGGTAGTATAAAAGGCATTCTGATGAGTGAAAGAAGCCAGTCTTAGGCTGGGCGCAGTGGCTCACACCTGTAATCCTGACACTTTGGGAGGCTGAGGCAGGTGGATCATTTGAGGTCAGGAGTTTGAGACCAGCCTGGCCAACATGGTGAAACCCTGTCTGTACTAAAAATACAAAAAAAATCAGCCGGACTTGGTGGTGGGCATCTGTAATCCCAGCTACTTGGGAGGCTGAGACACGAGAATCACTTGAACCCAGGAGACAGAGGTTGCAGTGAGCCAAGATTGTGCCACTGCACTCCAGCCTGGATAACAGAGTGAAACCCTGTCTCAAAAAAAAAAAAAAAAAAAGCCAGTCTTGAAAGTTTATATACTTTATGCTTCCATTTTCATGACATTTTGGAAAAGGCAAAACTTCAGGGACAGAGAACAGATCATTGGTTAGCAGGAGTTAGGGGAAGCAGGGAGGATTTGAATTTATAGGAGCAGCATGTAGAAGTTTTTCAGGGTGATGGAACAGTTCAATATCCTGATCCTGGCAGTAGTTACGTAAAACTACACATGCGAGTCAATTTTATTGTGTGTAAATTTAAAAATAATTTTAAAAGGGTATCTACCTACAGCACACATCATTGTGTTCTTTGGCAGTGAAAGGCTAAAACCATTTCCTTTAAATCAGGAATAAGCCAAAGATATCCACTCTTATAATTTAAACATTCTGCTTGAAAGTCTTAGTGCAGTAAGATAAGAAAAAGAAATAATAGTTACAAAGACTCAGAAACATCTGTTTTGATTTGTAGGTCATATGGTTGTCTACTCAGAATATACAAAAGAATATACAGAAAAATTATTAGGCCGGGCAGAGTGGCATGTGGCTGTAGTCCCAGCTACTCGGAGGCATAGGCAGGAGGATCACTTGAGTCCAGGAGTTTTGTGCTGTAGTGCACTATGCCAAGCAGGTGTTCACACCAAGTTCACTATCAATATGATGACCTTTCAGGAGCAGGGAGAGGTGAAAGAGCCCAGGTTGGAGAAAAAGCAGGCCAAAACTCCTGTGATGATCATTAGTGGGATAACACCTGTGAATAACCACTGCACTCCAGCCTGGGTAACAGAGACCCCATATCTGGGAAAAAAGAAAAAGAAAAAAAAATTATTAGAATTAATAAAGTAATTTATTAGGGTTGTGACATAGAAATTCCATATATAAACATAATTGCATTTCCGTATACCAAGAACAGACAAATAGCATCAAAAATACAAAGTTCCAAGAAATAAATCTAGCAAAAGAAGTATATTTGTGTTACAAATTAAACAATTAAAAGACCTTAAACACAACTTAAAGATAATTTCCTTAGATTGGAAAATTCGTTATTCTAGAGGTGTGGATTCTCCCAAATCGATCTATAGATTCCATGTAATTCCAATCAGGATTTCCAGAGTTTTTCCATGAAACTTGACAAACTGATTCTGAAATGATTATCAAAGAACAAAGGGCTAAACAATCAAAGTCAAGAGACAGCACACGGAATGTGATAAAATATTTGCAGACTACCCATCTGACAAGAGATTAATAACCAGAATATATAAGGAGCTCAACTGTATAGGAAAAAAAATCTAATAATCTTATCAAAAAAATGGGCAAAAGATTTGGTAGGTATTTCTCAAAAGACAACATACAAATGGCAAACAGGCATATGAAAAGGTGCCAACGTCATTGATCATCAGTGAAAGGCAAATCAGAACTACAATGACATATCTCACCCTCGTTAAAATGGCTTATATCCAAAAGACAGGCAATAACAAATGCTGGTGAAATGTGGAGAAAAGGGAACCCTCGTACGCTGTCGGTAGGAATGTAAGTTAGTACAACCACTATGGAGAACAGCTTGGAGGTTCCTCGAAAAACTAAAAATAGAGCTACCATATGATCCAGTAATCCCACTGCTGGGTATATATTAAAAAGAAAGGCAGTCAGTATATTGAATAGATGTCTGCAGCATCCTGTGTTTGTTACAGCACTGTTTACAATAGTCAAGATTTGGAAGCAACCTAAGTGTCTATCAACAAATGCATGGATAAAGAAAATGTAGTACATATGTACAATGGAGTACTATTTGGCCATAAAAAAGAATGAGATCCTGTCATTTGAAACAACATGGATGGAACGGGAGGTCATTATATACTCAGGCACAGAAAGACAAACAGCAGATGTTCTCATTTGTTGGATCAAAACAACTTATGGAGATAGAGAGCAGGCTGGTTATCAGAGGCTGGAAAGGATACTGGGGAGGTGGGGATGGTTAATAAGTACAAAAAAATAGAATGAATAAGACCTAGTATTTGATTGCACAACAGGGTGACTATAATCAATAATAAATTAGTGGTACATTTTTAAATAACTAAAAGAGTAGTACTGGATTGTTTGTAACACAAAGGATAAATGCTCGAGGGGGTGGATACCCCATTTTCCATGATGTGATTACTGTGTATTACATGCCTGTATCAAAATATCTCATGTACCCCATAAATGTATATACCTCCTATGTACCCATAAAATTTAAAAAAAAAAAAAAAAA